ATTAAAATATACAGAGCAATTTTTTTTTCTAACTAAAGGTTTCTCCTTATTTATGCTGCATTGGAGCCCCACAAATTCTTCTGGAAGGCAACATCTATATAGTGTATATGGAGGGACCTCTCATACACTTGTGGGTGTTTAATTAGAATGCAACAGTGAGATGATTAATTAATTTTAGGGAACTTGGAGGAAATGTGTTTTTCCACTAGGCTGAGCATAAAGGGCATAGGAATTCACAAGTGACTGGAGGAGGTTTCTACAGGACATCTATGGCCTTGAGACCAGTTGCAGAAACCAGCTTTCAGGAGAGAAGAAGTGCTAGGAGGCATGTGCAATATGGAATTCGTTACAGGGATGTGGCTGTGCCACTGCGGGGGCTGGCTGAACCTGTCTCTGTAAGGCTGTTGTTCTCAGATCTGATGCGGCAGGTCTGGGAGACACCCTGTGTTTCTTTTGTTACTCCCTGAGAAGGTGGACACTGATACAGACTGTTTCCCCTCTCTTCCTTTTAAAAATAGACTATTTAAATTTCTTTCCTTTGTGTCTTTCTCTTTTCTACTTTTCCCCATCCTGATCCTATCTTGATATTTCACAACAGAGTTAAATGGTAAATTTAATCAGCATAGAAGGTGCCCCCCGCCTCTCTCTCTCTCTTTTCATGTATATATTTGAAAGGAAAGAGATACATGAGGGTGGGAGGTAATAGAAAATAGATGTCTATTATCAAGTTTTCCAGATGGATGAGCTATATCAGAAGCTGAGATTCAGATCCAGGATATCTAAATGACCCTGTGTGTAGATATTCTTTTCACCCTGACCCAGTTCTAGAGGACACAGAGCACTGGTAAGAGAGTTATGTGTTGAGGCCCCAGTTCTAGTCTGTCACGCCATGGATTCTGGCCAAGTCTCTTCTCATCTATGAAAAACATTTTCTTCATTTCTCAGAAAAGTTTGTAGATACAAAGGTCATTTTTAACTTGAAAAAGCTAGTTCAAAGATTGCCACCCTTCACTACTGTTGAGGATCTGTTGTAATATATATGAATATAGTTGTCAAGGCTTCCCCTGGTAAAAGTTCTTTGCTTGGCCAAACTTTGGTTAAGCTCCTGACCCTTCTCCTAGGTCCATCTGTGCACGTCCTCATATAAAATACAGTTTTAGCAAACAAAAATATAAAATAAAATGCCAGTCCTCACTATCTCACCCTCCTCCCTATCTGATCAGGTTTTTAGTCCTCTACCATCTCCCAAGTGATCACCCTGGCCCATCTACAAGAATCCTCCTATTAGGTCAGTTTAGCCAGAATTCCCCTTACCCCAGATGTTTCCTCCTAGTCATTTTCCATCCACTGACAGACCAGCTCCTTGGCTATAAACTCCCATGCGGTATTTGGAGTTAAAGTTTCCCCCATTGCAGGACCCCACTGCAGGGGTCCCTACACTTACCTTGATGTCCTGAGTAATCTTCCTTGCCAGGTTTCAATAAGTATCATTGAATATTTTTTCTCTAATATCCCTTGGATTCTTACTCCAAGAAATCCTTCCTATGAAGCCAAAATGGGCCCATGATCTGTGCAAGTTAGTTTTTACATGTGGATAATTTTAAAATTGCCTAACATTTCAGTGGCCTTTAAGAGGGAGTTTTAGACTTGTACTTGGCTGTGTGCTAATGTTCTGGTGTCCTGGGAGCTCCCAGAATGGAGTCACCATTCCATTCTGAATCAGGTCCACTGGACCAGTGGTAAGCAGCCCCATAATCACATTTGGTATTTTGTTTAAATCTTTGTTCAAAGATTTCA